TCTTAGGTTGAATTTACTTATCAAAAGTTTGTAAATCGCTGGAAATGACTTAGGTGGGTGATTTGATCCTTAGCCAACGAAAGTTGAAGTTAGGGCATCTCGTGAACATATCAACTCTAATCGATTAATGCTTGATAATCCTTGTAACCTCAACGACAGTTAGGGTGTTAGATTGATTGTTAAAGTTGTAGATGCCACGAAAGTGGATCTCCTTATATTTATGGTTGAGTTTGAGACTTGGTCGTAATCGCATACCTGAATAATTGCTTGGTTCYTGATATTCGAATCCCTGAGAATTATCCCTGACCTAACGCCTTTCCACTATTGTTTACAACCGAATTTACTTTTGTTTTGCTTTAATATTATTGYGACAWTTWAACCCCAACTTGAATCGCTTAGCTGAGATTGTGTTCCATAGAATTAGAGCGTATTGCTGGTCCCTTAACGAACCTCACTATTCTACATCGGATTAGTAATTCTAGGTTTTAATCTTGAAACCGGATAAAAGGACTTACATCAGCTTCCTATAGACATACGGATTCAACAGCTCAATCAAGCCACCTGTCTAACAAAATCTTGTACTGCTAAATGACATGTGTCATCATCTCATTATCAAAAATCTTTTTCTATATAATCAAAACATTGTAAAAGGTTTTTGTAAGTTGAATAAAAGTTATCTTCTTTTCTTCTTCCTAAAGCTTCAAGCTTTCTCTTTCAAAATATATGTGTAACTCTGTTGAGAAAATAAAAAATATACCAAGTGTTGCGGAGTTGAAGGTGTCTACGTTGTCTACTTTGTTCAAGCTTCCAGTTATAATGGTTTTATCTCTACCCTCGCCTAACGTTATGTTCGTCTTTGTACTCGAAATCCAAACGACTTCATAATATATGCCTTCTTTAACGAATATGATGAGTTTGCTGTAATTAGGAGCTGCCTCAACCGCGTCATTGATGGTTTCGTACTTCCCCTTATCATCTTTAGCAACGATGAGACTGGCTACGTTCGAACACCTATGATTGTGATAAAAACAAACAAAAAAAACATAGGGAATTCAAGGAGCAATTGAACAAAACAAAACAAAAAAAGCTTTTTCTCTTTTTCTGGAATTATATATTAGCTCTTAAATGGTGAAACATCCAAATTAATTACAACAAAAAAATGAGAAGCAAAGACTTGAAACCTAATGAACTACGAAACATTCAAGTCAATACAGAGGCAAAGTTACTTTTCTCACAAGTCACAAGATAAAATTATGTTGGATTTTTTTCTTGGATAATATTATATAATACTTTTTATGTCTTTTGATGTATTGACTTGGGCTTTTATTAGTTCAATTTAGTTCATATGAAAATATATTTTTGTTGATATCGAAATAGTTTTATGAGCTTTTGTCTACATATGAACGGTTGTACAATTTATACATTTGTTTTTTTCAAATATGGCGTAGATGGAAAATTCCCGTTCACAGATATTTTTGTTTGTTTCTTTACTAGATAGCTTCATATTTACAAAATTTGGAGTTAATTTTATGGATTACCTCTGAATCTGTTTGGATCTTCTGTTCTAAGTTGTTGTTGTTCTATCGCATAGAAATAGAGTAATTACACATAATAGACGATTACTTGTTGTGTCTCCCAAATACATATATAATTACATTCCAGCTCATAAATTATACACTCTAAAAGACGGTTTCTTATACATTGTTTTTTCTTATGATCAATTATAAATAGTGCAAATATTTTTAGGTAAATGTACTATCTTACGGCTGAGATTGAAAGGGTACTAAATTGATCTTTCCATAAGACATTAGTTCGGCAGTAGTGCCCGTTTTAAATGCATGCTTAGCTGTTAGCTCATGCCAAGTTTTTTTTATTTTAGATAAACTACACTGATATAATTTGAACCTAATCGATAAATTATGGTTTACAAACTGAATTGAGATTTAACTAATACGCTGGTCATGTATGACTATTAAGAAATTTTGTTGACAAAAAAAAAAAAAAATTCTAGCTATATTGATTTTTTTTTTATGACCAGTATGATTATTTACGCCACAAATTCAAAAATTTGTTTTGATATGATGGAAAAAATAAATAAAAGATTAGTTAAGAGTCTTAAGAATATTCAAATATGACATCACGACATTTTATTATTGAACACTAACATTAGAACTTCACGAAACAGAAATTGTCATTTGTAACTTAACTCCGTTCAAAACAGAAAAAGGCATCAAATTAAAACAGAGCATATTATAACACAAACTACTTATAAGTGATTAGATCAAAGCCACTCTTGGTAAGTAACTCCAGTGGGTTTTAGCCATAATCCTCCTTGAATAAGCTTTGCCACTGGAAATTGCTCGGCCTCCTTTGAGTCTCTAATAACTTTAAATCCCTTCCATTTCACTCTCTTACTCGTATCTGCTCCAGGACCGTTATTCGCATACTCTCCATAGTATAATAATGTCGAGAGTGCGAACTCAGGGTCCCATGGGAACCAACCAGCCGGGTCAATGTCATCGCCAATGAAAGACTGCATGATCTGTCAGTGAGTATAACTTATATGGCCTTCCAATGAATGTTTTCACACGGATCCTTTTACCGGAGCAAGATCACGATATACATTTATATATATTTTGACTAAAGTCATTTTTAACTAAAAATGCATTACATTTTTCTATTTCTCTAGTAGACGAATAAAATATGATTTTGTAAGGTTTTCATTAAAATACGCTCATACTTTGGATTCAAATCTTTTTAGAATTATTTTGATTTCTTAATCAAAGTTTTATTTTTTAAACAATATCTGGCAAAACGACAACGCATTGTATAATTTAACTGTTGACAAAGTTGGAATCTTTCACAATTGAACACAAAAGCACAAGCTTTGAGAGTTTAGAGTCGACGGAAACATCACTAATACTGTCTAAACATGTCATGTAGTTTGTAAACACACTCCTAGTCATGTAGTTTCCTCCTCGGAGTTCTTCTATTCAGATTGGTCTAGTGTATAGTGTAAACTGCGACTGTACCCGCACTATTGACAAATGACAATTTATAAGCAA